TTGCTTCTTGCATTGTCGAAGCCAGCGTTCCCGCCGACGGTGTGCTGTCTGGAAAGACGCTTCATGACGTCTGGAAAGATGCCTCAGCAAGCTGCAGAACAACATGCTTCCGCCGCAGGCTCCTGCTCCAGTGCACGTGAGGCTTCTTCTAGAAAAGGCTTTGCAGCCATGGCCAGCGTCATGGAGGAAGTGCAGGGCGCGGTGCAGTACTTAGTGCAAGCGAAGGAGTGCCTCTCCGAGCAGAAGTTCTTGGAAGCCCGCCAAGCCCAAGTCGACCGTTTGGCCGTTCTTTGCTGCGGCTTGCCGTCCAACCAGCACTCCGGCATGGCCATGAAGACACTTCGCGAAGCGGGAGTTTTCTCACCTGAGCAGCTGGAGCGCTTGGCGGAAGCCCTGGGAAGCCATGTTGGGAAGTCGTCGGCGTCCTTGCTGTGGCAGCAGGGCAAGTGTCAGGACTACGAGCACTTCTTCAGGGTGTTGCCGGTCGCTTTGTGGGAGCAAATCCGCGTAGACCGCGAGGTTCAGGAGTGGGAGGTTTTCTCGCTGCTGGCGGACTTCCTGGGAAGAGCCGGGTGCATCTCGCCGTCAGAGTTCACCTGCCGCAGCCTAACCGCCTTCATGCTGCTCCGCTTCCGGAAGGATGTGCTGTCGATGAGCGCCCAGGAGAAGCACGACATGTACGTGAAGTACAAGGATGCTTTGAGGGCGAGGCTGCAAGGCCACTTCGACAGCAACCCCGGGCGGAAGTTCTGGCCCATTGTGTGGAAGCTCACCACACCCAGCTGCCTGCCACAGGAGTGGCTGCAGTGCTCTGGGATCAGCTGGGAAGGTGCGCCTGCCGCTGTGCAGGGGCCCAAGGAGTCGGAGATCAAGTGCTTTGGCTTGACCATCGCGTGTAGAGATACACACAAAGATCTCCAGCAAGCTGGCCGGAAGGCCGGCGCTTGCGGCTCCGGGGCAAGCGGTGGGGACCTCGCGGCGGTCGTGGGCTTGCTGGAAAGGCTGCTTCAGACTTCCCAGACACTGCAGCAGCCTGTGTCCAACCTGGGAGGGTTGCAGCGGCAGCTGACTCAAGCGCAAAGCCTCCCCGCCCTGACGCTGCCGCAAGTGCAGACACCCCAGCCGGAAAGCCTCCCCTTGCTCGCGCTGCCCCCGGCTGAAGCAGAGCAGACGGCCAGAGCGCCAGCCTCACCGCAGCTCGGCACGTTAAGCCTTCCTGAGTTGAAGCCCGCAGCAGCCGAGTCCACCCCAAGCTCGGGCTGTGCTGTTGTGGCAGAAACCTCGCCAAGCGACCTGAGCCTTCAGAGTGCCAAGACTTCTTCCAGCCCGGCTTCGACTAACGAGGGCAACCCTGCGCTGGCCTCCCTGGACGGTTTCACCAAGAAGTTCGAGCAGAAGAACGAGGTGCAGACCGACAAGGAAAAGACGGAGGCCAAACCAAAGGCCAAAGCACAGGCCAAGGCCGTTGCGAAGCCCAAGGCCGCTGCGAAGGCCAAGGCCGCAGCGAAGGCGAAAGCCCAAGCGAAGCCCAAAGCCGGAAAAACTGAGGCTGCTAAGGAGGGCTTGCGGAAGCAGCAGGGCAAGAAGAAGGAGGACCTGCTGGCCTTGCGGAAGCAGCTGCTCGCCAAGGCCGGGGTCGACCAAGGGCTCGTCCGCAAGTTCAGCGATGGCTGCCCGAGGTGCCGGAAGCGGCCCCTCTGCACGCTGTCGTGCTGGCAATTGAGAGGGTTCAACCCTTCCAAGAAGGCCTGGAAGAACCTCACTGCCGGACCTGCTGGAAAGCAGTGAGATGGCGGAAGTCTGCCGCCCATCTGAAAGAGGGCGACAACCTATTCTAATCCGTCCATCCTCTGCAGGAGCTAGTACCATTATACGGAATGTAGGGCTTTTGTTCCTTTGTGTTCGTTTTCGAACATCACCTACATATCCGTCGCAGTCATCTATTTTGTCCGTGTGCAGTGTACAGCTTTAACAATGCACGACCCCGCACGCTTCTTACGCAGAAGCATGTCATCCGAAAGGATCAAAGAGCTGGAGCACATCCTGCATGCTTGGCAGGATTTGAAGGAATAAAAAATTATATTGCAGCAGTGTCGTGGAGCGGAGCCACTTGCAAGAGCTGCACATTCGAACCATGAGCGACGTGATATTGCATCCACGCTTTGATTCAGGGAGCTTCGCTCCCTGCTATAGCCCCCCCTCTGTCCGCCTGCTCTGCCATGACGGACTCGGAAAGCTCCAGCTCGTCCCTGTTCGAACTCCTGGAGGAGGCGTCTCAGGAGGCGGAAACTTCCGAGCCTACTCACGAGCAGCGGAAGGCGGCTACGGTCAACGCCTCTCGGCTCGCTGCTTCCTTCGCGCCCCTCATCAAGGACTTGCTGCAAGTCCAAGCCTCGTTTTTGGTTGGGGACACCAACCTTGCTGAGGCAGACGCAGAGAAGCTGCAGGAATACCTTGCTGAGGGTCGGGAGGTCCTTGCGCAAGCAGAGGAGGAAATCGCAAACTTCTCTCCGAAGCTCTGGTGGGGCAAGGGGCTGGAAGGCCGAAGAGGGGTGATAGCCGGCGAGGACATGCACGGGAAGGTGAGGCTTTCGGAACAAATCCGAGCCTGGTTGACCTTAGTGCACAGGGAGCGTGCACGCCAAATGCGCTGCGAGGACCTCCAAGCCAGAGCCCGGGCCAAGAGAGCAAGGGTGGATCGTTGAGAGACATATATAGCGTAAGCGCGGCAGCTATATTCTGTGTGCGTCAATCAAGAGCAAGTGCGGTGGATGTGTTGGCGCATGCATGAAAACATTCCATCACCAATGACAGACCTTGGGCTCTAAGACTCTCAAGCGTAAGCTCCTTCCTTCCTGCCTTCTGCTTGGAAAAGATCCGCCATGGCCGGCGGAATCCCGATGGAGCTGCTGGAGCGCCTGCGCGAAAGCGCCTCCGCGGTTGTTGTTGCGGCGGACGTCATAAGCCCGAAGAAGCAGGAGGAGAAAGACGCTCCTCCAGCCCCGTCGTCGTCAGAACGACAGACTGCGGAAGCAGCGGCGACGGCAGAGGCGGAAGCCACTGCAGCAGCCGAAGCCACCGAGGAGGACCGGGCCATGAGGGCCCGCTTTCCGCCCGAGTCCTTTGAGACTCCAGACGACCGGCCCACCAGGCGGGTGCGTCGCAAACTGAGTGAAGCCCCGAAGAAGAAGCCTGCTGCAGCCGAGGAGCTCAAGTGAATAAAAACGTTATTCCAAGTTTTTGCACATTAAGGGCTTTAAGGGTTTAAGGTTAGGGCTATATTTTATATACGGCGAATACAGTCGTGTATATATATATAT